TCAGAATTTTTGTCTGTCATCCAAAGAGAGAACCACTCACCTTCCTAGCCATGACTAGGCCAGAGGGTTTGTGGCGGACCTTGTTGACCACGCCGCCATTCCCAGCACCTAGCTCGCAGATGTGGTGGAAGTCGTCATCCTTCAACTCACCCACTTTGGCCTTCTGGGTGAGGAAGGCCTCGAGACGCTTCTTCTGCTGTTCATCCAGGTCCAACTCCTCCAGTTTCTTCTGCAGGGTGGCCAGATTGGCCCTGAGGTGGTGGTGGTCAGGGATGGTAGCGAAAGAATAAGGATGCACTTTGAAAACTACTCGCATTGATCACCTTCGATTCAGCTTAGTCTACAACCACTAGATCTAAAAAAACATGCATTTCCTGTTTCCTCCATTTCTCACACTGCAAAGCTATAATGTTAACTTTTCCGTAATGCTGTTATTAACTTCTCATTAGTACTGAGCATTCTACCGTATTAAATCACTTTAGGTGCAGGTTGCAGTTTGAAAATCATTTAACCTGAATATTCTTTATCTTGACTCCACAGACCATATTTAACAGCATTAGATCTTTGTTTAAGATAATAAGCAGAAATCACACACAAATCTGTTTTTGTTACTATTTACTTTTCATCTATAAGGCATTATAATGCATACCAAAGATCGTTATCATCAATCTCTTGGATGTACACGAATTTAAAATGTTATTTTAACATCTCAAGTTCCTGGTGGGCAGACCTATTGTACGTTAACATTAACAGCGCATTCGTCATCCTTAATAGTTTCACTACATTGTACAGTATCTGTCTAGACAAGCATCCAGCTGCAGGTACTCACTCAGAAGCGGCATCGATATTGGTGGACAGCTGTCCATCTCCACTGGGTGCGATGTTTAGGGGAACAGGTCTTCTTTTTGGGGCCATGTCGGATTTTAAGAAGGCAGAAGCTACCTAGCAATTATATCTCGGAAACACTAATTAACTATTTCACAACAACCAAAATAACCTATTTATGCCGTTGTAAAATGTCTTGGCTTTCAGTCAATTAGAAAAGTTCTCTGCAAACTGACTACCTGTGGCCTATCACCGATTTGAAATAGTGGATTTCATAAAATTGAAATTTCACAGGAAATGTACGAATCCACAAAATGGATACGAATGAGCGCTTTACCAAATGATTTGTAAAACTAGATGTCTAAGACAGGTGCTGAATACAGGTGACAAAAAGAACGGATGCGTATTATATAAAATAAAGTTTGCTAGATATTATTGTATTAAATAGTAATTTACAGCAACTCAGTAAAATCACGTATAACTGATTAATTGAGGTACCAATACAAGGTAATGAATAACCTATGTAGGTATTTCAACGTTATAAGAAGACTAAACTACTAGTTAGCTAGTTGAAGCTAACAAGAGTTCCTCAAGTATCGAGGCGTTTTCCTCGCTGTGTTAGAGACGGTTAGCCTGCTAGCTTGGCTCTCCTGGAAAAAAGTGACCGCTGCGTATGGGCGCACGCCGTGTTTTCCCAGGTTCCTGCACTTGAATTGGTAAAACGATTAAATGTCCACGCCAGTTCAGACTCCGGCGGCCCCGGCCTGTCTCCTGAGCTTAGCGGAACAGAAGGAACAAGACCGTCCTCGCCGATGCCAACAAAATTCTGCAGTCCGACGATATCCGGCCTGAGTAATGGGGAAGCCGGGTGTCGCAACAGATGTCCCCCGGAATAGGACTGGGGGTGCGGCTCCGTCCAGCTCTCCCAGCCGCGCGCTGCAGACACACGCAGGATCAAGGAGCCAGTCCGGGAAAGAAGAGGTAACGTTGCCAAGTCTCGTAAAATCACGCGACATTTTGCGCGTCTTTTTTTTGTATAACGTATTAAAAACCACTAGGCGACGCACGCTCGCATATAGGAATATAAACTCGCATCGACTGAGTAAAGAAATGAATCAAAATGGACTTTAAACCCTTTTATATTATTATAAGAATTAACTAGTTTCTGGCAAAATGTCTCCCCCTATTGGGTCAAAATTGCTCTTAATTAATAATCAGAATTGATAAATTAAGCAAATTCTCCATATAACGCTCTGGAAAAATTTGAGAGACCACAGCACAATTTTTTTTGTTTCACCCATTTTTCAGTTTATGGGTATGCGTCTATAAAATATACAATTTTTTTTGCAAACTTCAGCCTAGCTCTTCCCTGCTTCATATTGATGAAGGGCTTCTTTCTTCCTTTATGGGTCTTCAGTCCTGCTTCTAGGTGCCTGTTATGAATTGTCCTAGCAGTGCACTTCGCACCTGGATTTAATGTTTCCCATTCCTTTTGAAAGTCACTTGAAGTCATCCTCCAACTTATGAGCCACTGACAGATAAGTTGATGGTTCTGTCTGGCATTAGAATGTCGATTCCACCCTCTGCCTGGCTGGTTCCTGGTCTTTCCCAATCTCTACTGCATATCCTTATTCTTGTGTACTGCCATCTTAGATATGTTGAACCTGGAAGCAACCTGTCGTTCAGTGCAACCTTCTGCCAGCAAACCGGATTAAACCAGGATTTTAAAAATGAAGTTTTTTTTTTTAAATGTAGAGTGGTCTCTTCCATTATCTTAAATAATGGAAAACAACTATAATCAATGGAGCAGTAGCTTTAGAATATATTATTTTTTACGGTCACTGAAATTATTTTCCATTAGGAACAAGTCACTAGATGTCATTGAAGGTCATATTTACCCTCTCATTCAGTGTTTCCAAATACTCTGGGTGTGAGTTAAATGAAACCTTGTAACAAATGTCATCTTTTTTTTTTTCCCTTAGGGGGGACCAGCTACTTCAAAGAAAAAATAAAAGCTATATTACATAGTCAAATACAGCAGGGAGCATAATTTAAGTCATATTAAATAACAAAAGGTGATGGTAGGTAGGCCACATCAGTTTATTTAAATAAAAAACTGAATACTACATTTTCCTTGTATATTTAACTGCACAATCACAATATGGAAAGCTGAATTCAACTAATAAAAAAATAATATTCAATAAAGAAAATGATTGCTTAGATTCTTTAATAAAATCTGTCAACTAATTACCATAGCTTCTGCTGACCTGCAGGCCTATTATGAGATGCAGTTTCTTCTGCGGTAGACAACCTCATTGAATTTTCAAATCATATGTCATTTATTATTTTAATTTAGTTTACCTCTTCTTAAAAATGGGCAGATACACCTGGAGTGAAAGGTACATGAGTTTATGCATCACTGTGGGCATGGGAAAGGCTACTAGAGATGTACAGTGGTGAATTTTTTTTTCCCCAATCTCACTGCAACATTCAGAGAAATGTGCTAGAATCAAATCAGATAGAACAAGATATCTTGGAGGAAAATTAAAACGAAATCTTGGAAACAGAATCAGCGGGACATGCAGTCAGGCAATACTTTCTAAGACAATGGCTGGGAAGGTGTTTTGTTTTTTTTCTTCAACTGTCATTCACATTGCATTGAGAAACAGAACACAGCAGGAAACGTTTAACTGCAAACAACAAGGCATTGCCACACCAAGTTGTACAGTCCATGAAGTGTGAGCTGGTAAAATAATCATATCAAAGAGCCACAGACAAATTTCGCTGCTGTAGTCTTCAGCACCAGCACACGTAGGTCCTCAAACCAATATTAGTACTGACATCAGTCCGAAAATCTAGCTACTGTAAAGGTTTCAAACCAGAGAAAATGAAAGCACTATTCCACTTTCCTTTTAATCGGTGTACGTTCTCCATGCTACCTGCCATCAATCTGTTTCTTATTGCTTGCCCCATTTACCACCTAGTATTCCGGTAGCACATCTAGCTGTATGTGCTGGATTGCTTCACATCCTCTTAGCCAGTGGGATTCTGCTTTCAAACAAACCACAACAAAAAAAAAAGACCCAAGACGACTGTGGCACGAACACTCAAAAGCAATTTCTTTAAATCCTTGCTTACATCACAGCAGTTCTAGGGGCACAGCAGTTCATTGAGCTTGCAGTTTGGACTAATGTCCAAAGAATTATCAACACAGCCTTTCCAAGAAGCCTCGGTTTTTCAGCACAAGAACACAGATCTACATGGATTGTGAAGATGCCCCTTCACCCCCGGTAGCTTCTAGGACTGGAACATCCAAAGGAAGTTGGCATTGTGCCGTATAACTGGGAATTACGTGGGAGTCAGACTGAGCTGGTACTGAACTCCGGAATGATGGGAGATCTTTTCCTTGGCTCCAAGTTTGCCTTTGCAAATGGCAGCTGTGGTACCAGCAGAGTGGAGGCCAGGACATTAATCCAGGCCCCCAACCGAATCTAAACCACATATCCTGCTAGAGCAGTAATGCACAGTGAAACGGAAATATGCACGCAC